ATCGATAAAACTTAATGAATATTACACAAAATGCCATAGAAAAATGCTACACACTTAAAACCAATCGAAATGTGTCATATTTGCTTCGTTGTAAAGAGACAAACAACAGACGTAATCTAATTAAAACTGCGTCAAATTTCGAATGACACTCGCCTTACAATTGAAATCATAGCAAAGTCTTGATAATCGCATGAAAATTGATCTTTTAACTGCTTTTGCCGTAAGCCTGGGTGGTATAAACAGTTGATGGGCTTCAAAAATTGATAATACAGTTTATTTGTGATTTTTTTTATTTATGAACGGTGTAAAATAGCATTTGTTGGGCAGATCGCTGTCACAAGAGATTTCTCGCAAAGTAGGCGAGCGTACCTCAATTGGACGACCTTTACCCTTGCAAAAATATATGCTTAGCTCATTGCAAAAGCTTACGCCGTTGCAATGATTGCAATATGGCAAGCCGAGGTAAGCATCACCAAACCTCAATTATTTTCCTTACTCATTAGTTTAAGGCACGAATCTGTTTTGCACTACAACATTACTCTTGTATTATTTACGCATACGTTGCAACAGTGAATTATAAATAGCACAGACTCAAAAAATCGCACACGTATTACGAAGTACATGAATTGGATAAAATGTTATAATAAAACACATTTATGCCATGCTGTTATTGCTGTATCATTGTTCTTAATATATATTTTGAAAACTGACCTAATCTATCTATTGAATAAAATATATACAATGTCAACAATGTGAATTTGAGTTTGAAAATATTCCGGACACTTTTTCAAAAAAAAACTTTTCACCGAACATTGTATAACAATTGAATATGAACGAGCATTCTTTATATGAATATAAAAGAGTTTACGAGGTTTAGGCAGAAAACGAGGCAAAATATTCGATGTAACTGATAGCGATAAATAATTGATGTCAACTGCAGAATGTGCCTTTCTGGTCGTGAGAAACGTGTGTAGAAAATAGCAGAGTTACCACTTGGCTGTTCCTAGTTTTGTTTTTTTCATATTGATTTTCCATATGTCATTTTTGTCGCTTGGATTGATTTTCATTGGAACAACAGCACTCCATTTGCTGTTGTGTGACAATGCCGAAAATAAATGAAAAGAAAAAGAAAACCAGTCACAAACATGAAGCGAACGAAGAACATAAACTTGCATTAAGTTTTGTCGTTCTTGTGAACAAGTGTTCGTGTGTTTGTCTGTGAGTGAGAGTATATCGTGCCAAGTATGAAAGAGCGAAATAAAATTCATAAAAATTGCCAACTTTGGCATGGAGAAAGAGTGAAAGAATACAGAAAAACAACGACAACAACAACGGATCGGAAATATGAACGTTTTTTACTGTCGATCGTGTCAAACATATTATCATTTAAATTACAAATGATGATATTGTGTGTCGTTACATGAGGCATGTCTCTATTTTTCCGAATTGCACGAGGAGACATAGCGTTCCATCGTTAAATGATTCGAGAAAAAAAAATGAAAATGGCTTTGCACAGTGCCGCTGGCTTTGCGTCGTCGTCATCGTCGCATAAATAACTATTATAAATGGCGCTTTTGCAATTCTCAGTTTTCAGTTTCGTGTAACAGATATATTAAATGGTTGTAAATTGATTCACAATATACACACCGGTGAAATCCACTTAATTTACACACACACATTTGCCGCACTGAAAAGCATATACTCACTTTAGACGTTTCTATTTTTTTGCTTGTATTTTCTCACACAAAATTATTCAAACGAGGGAAAGGTGTTAATTCGAATGCCCTTTATGATAAAATAAAGTAACTGCATTGCCTGCTAAATGCATTTTTTAAAAGTGATGTTAAATTAAGGCGTCCGTGATGTTTTAATCACTCAATTGGGTTATCTATGTGGTTTACGGCGGCTTTTAACAACAGCAACGATTTTCAGGTTGTACGAATTTCATTGTACAAGCTCTTACAGCTGTTCAAAGAGCTCAGTCTAAATATTTGAATTCTATTTAACGCATGGTTATCATTTAACAAAATGCATAACACTTGAATCAGTTTCACTCGCAATCAAGCTGTCAATGAAAAAAGTTGTTTTTTTTCTTTGCACCATATTATTAGTCATTTTTTTCAACACCTTTCCTTTCGTGTGAGGCCTTTTTGACGACGCGATACTCTACTTTTGATATATCTGAAATTTATCATCAAAACTATAAAACACGATTTCCACGTTTATAGGTTCTTAACATCAATCTCTGGCTTATTCTAACCTTATTCCGCACATTTTAAGATAATTTTGTATTTGAACGATAAAAAAAAGACACGAGTTCAGATATTATTCTGTAAATAGTTCTGGCCTTGCGGTGCCTACGGCAAATCAAACTGACTTCAAAATATTCAATGGTGATTGATAATCTGTCATAGACCCGATCTAAATTAGAACATTACACACTTCAATTTGTGAAAGAGCGCGTGAGCACACACTCAATGTATGTATCAAACTTTGACACCAAACTAAATCGGGCAAGCTTAAAACACATCAACGGTGCGCATATACTTATTTATTGACAACGACATTAAAACGCGTTCAATCGATACAAACGAATGAATCACGAAAACCAGTTTTCCAGCGAAACCAAAGTTTCCATCGGCTTGTCAATATCAAATGTTATTTGAAACTTAAGACATGATACGATTTGATATTCAGTAGCTGTTTGGTTGCCTTTTCTCTTGCTCTCCTTCTCTCTCTCTCTCCCGATCGCACAGCGGCAGCGATACACTCAATTGTTTGCTTGATTGTTTTCTTTCGTGAAAACTGACGAGTTTATTACAAATGCAATTCGATTCGATTCGAATTCAAAGTGGATTCACTCCGTGTTTTGAGTTGTGAGTCAATAAACTAAGCCATCATTTTCTATTGCCGCTGCTGGCATTCGTTTCACAATTTCTGTATGTGTTTGTGTGTGTTGTCTGTTATTTGTGGTTATTGTTTAAATGCATTTTATTTCTTCGGTAGAGAGAACCTAATTCGAAATACCAATTTTCCATTTTGATTGGCTTGATCCAAATATGATATGTTTACGTTTTTTTTTTTAGAATATCGAACAAAGGAAAATGAACAAAATCAAAATAAATTAAGTAAGATGAATGCATTTCGGTCACTCATTCGGATCAATAAAATGGAATATGTTGTGTGATTTTCGGGGGGAAATGTTCAGTGTATTGTTGTCTGAGCGCTAAACATTTTGAATAAAAACGGTAGTAGCGTGCAATCGGCTGATTAATCGAATTGAACCAAATGCGGAAAGTGAGAGGCGATATGCATATGCATAGAGAACAAAGAACAATTCGAAAATAACGACAAATTGTTATGCCACAGCAATGCAACCACAACAAAAACCGCTCGCGCATTCTTTTCAGTTGTCAATTGCTTGCTAGAGAATAAAAAGATGAAAACATCTGCAAAACATTGAAGAAAACGAAAAGAACACAAGCAGTTCATATGAACAATATATATACGCCGTACTGAATCAAGACCTATGAATCGAACATGGCTCATTTATTTTCATCTGAGAATCAGTGATGAATAACGAAAGTGGCTCTCGGTTTTCAACAAAAGTAAAAATTAATGCAAAAATAGAAGCGAGCGAAAAATGAAGAAAAAAACCAAAAGTTGATGACATCTGATCAAGCGGCAACATTTTATACCATTTTGGAATTTAGTGAGAGTTGAATAAATACGATTTCCGCCTAGAAATATTTGAGTGTTCTCAGAAAAAAAATTTGAATCACCGTATTTCAACGCATAATTCTTTTTCGAATGCTGAACACGATCGACTCTTTTTTAATTTTGTTCTTTACTTTTATTTGTGTATATTTTACAACGACAGAGTCCATATCAAGATTCTGGGACTTTGAAGAATCAAAATGAATAATAATCGCACATTGACATCCGACATTCGGTTCTTTGATAACAATAAAAAACAATTGCAAATATCCGTTGTTCTTTACCTTGTGATTAACCGTGAAATTTCATGCGTTTTCTTTTGAAAAAAAAAAAAAACACATTAATGATGATGTCAGGGTTTTTCTAGTGTCGTTTTACAAGCTCATATTTATGGATGTATGCGAAAACATATTGTTCATTTTAACTCGATATTTATACCGGCAAAGTGGAATTACTAGATTGTCGATCGTTTGTATGTTTATAGGCCGATAATTGTTTGTTAATTAAAATTGCCCAAAGCACATAGAAATAATTACAGTGCGGTTTCAGTGTCAGAAAAAAAGCAATTAAACTTCAATTTAAGTGTGCGGGTGGGGCGGAGAAAAGAAGTACACTTGAAAAGTCATCGAAACTTGTCATATTGCGGATGAAACAAGTCTTTTCATCTCTTCTCTCCATTTCTTTCATTCTGTTTCTCGCCAAAAAATGCTTAATTTTGGCAACTGTTTTCACTTATTTAGGTAATTCACTCGAATTCGGTCCAACGCATTCACTCATTACATGTGTTCCGTTTATTTTTCTTTGTTCCAAAGATGAAATGGTAAAGACCAAAATGAACGCAACTCTGTTGGATGTGTGTCACAAGCGTGTGTGTGAATTGTGAATAATAATTCAAGTAAATAGTTTCTCTAAAAAAACAAACTATTTTCAAACTGCCAAAAATTCTACAGCCAATCACAATGGCACACATTCTGCGAAATGTAATTACACGAATGTTAAAAGGTAAGTAATTTTGTGTGTGTTGTTTTTGTTGTTGTTCTTATTGTGTGTCGACTGTCGGTAGTTGATAGACTGTCAACGCCAAATACAAAACATTGTATGGGCCGTGGTATAAGGTGTGTATTTGGGTGCAGAGCACCGAAACAAATGTATCAAATTACCATTCACAAATAGAACAAAGTTAGAGTCGAGAAGTCGCATTTATAGCATTCGATATGGGTACCGAGCGCGTCATTTTGAATTAAATGAAACAACTATATTCGATCCGACCCGCTTTTGCAAAATTGCTTTATAATTAGAAAAGACAAAAGAAAGAAACGACAGCAATCTGCTCAATAATGTAAACGACGCTTTTTTTCGTTCTGGTTGATTTTCAGAATCGATCATCAAATGAGTCATGTTATATACTTAATATTCAGAAAATTGTTTCTCGCATACTCGTCATTCTTGTATCGCTAATGGAGTTCTAAATTTGTTTGTACATTTTTTTTAATTGCGTTTTCGACGAGTAGCTCGGCTCATTTAACCGGTAGAGGAAGCCATGCGGCACACCTTTCAATCAATGTAAACGAACTCTTCACTTCTTAAAATGAACTAAATCGATGCACGCAATAAAATTGGTTCGACGAAACCTTCGACATTTTCCCCATTTGTTCATAGATTTCTATACGGTCAGTGAACGGTTAATGAAATTCTTTGTTATATGCCGTAAAGAACCAGAGGGGAAACATGTTTAATTTGAATTAGATTGTGCAGCGCCCACAAAAAATACACAAATGTAGCCAAACCAAAAGAAG